ACATGGACCACATTCAGTAGACCACAGGACAACCTCAACTAATTCCTAAATAGATCACCATGTGGTATAACTCAAGATTAATAAAACAAAACAAAACCCTAGCACCTGGATATTTTAATAAAACTTGTCTTTAATAAAACCTTTAAGTCAAAGATAAAATCAAAACCAAAAGAGCAGACTAGATAAAAAGCAGTAATAAAAAATATATACTACATAGAAAATGGAACCTCCATGGAAGCATAGTTGGCAACAGCTATAAAGATAATAAACTCTTATCCTTTTCAGCTCAGTCTTTTCACTCCTTGGTTATTCACACTACAATATATTTGCATGTGTGTGAAATAATGTATGTAAAAATATATCTATTGCAGTATTTTGGGGTACTAGTAAAAGATTGGAAACAACCCAAATTCCCATTATTAGAGAACTGTGTAAATATGGTACAACTGTAATGGGATACTGTGCAGCTGCAAAAAGAATATGGTAGCTCTCTATGTATTAATAAGAAAAGGTCTCCAAAATTCATGATAGAGTGTAAATAGCTAAGAGTGGAATGATGGGTGTGGCGTGCTACCAGAGGTATTGGGTGGTGTTATGGACTGAATTTTGTACCTCCCCCAGAATTTATAGGTTGAGACCCTAGCCTCCCAAGGTGACCATATTTGAAGAGAGGGCTTCTAAGGGGGTAATTAAGGTGAAATGATGTATGAGGATGGAGCACTAATCCAAATGGACTGATGTTTTTATAATAAGAAGAGACACCAGGGATGAGCAGGCACAGAGAAAAGGCCATGTGGGGACACAGTGAGAAGGTGGCCATCTACAAGCCAGGAAGAAAGCCCTCAGGAGAAACCAAACCTGTCAACACCTTGATCTTAGACCTCTGCCCTCCAGAACTATGAAAAAATAAATTTCTATTGTCCTAGCAGACTACTACAGATTTGGGTACTGAAAAGTGGGGTGCTACTATAACAAATACCTAAAAATGTGAAAGTGACTTTGGAAATAGGTAATAAGTAGGGGCTGGAAGAGTTTTGAGCTATGTGTTAGAAAAAGCCTAGACTGCCTTGAAGAAACTGATGGTAGAAATATGGACCTTAAAGGTGATTCTGGTGTGGTCTCAGATGGCAATGAGGAAACTTACTGGAAACAGGAGGAAAGGCAACCCTTGTTATAAAATGGCAAAGAAGTTGGCTGAATTGTATTCTAGTGATTGTGGAAAAGAAGAAATTGTAAATGGTGACTTTGGATGTTTAGCTAAGGAGATTTCTAGGCAAAATGTTGAAGGTGTGGTCTGGTATCTCCTCATTGCTTATAGTCAGATGTGAAAAGAGAGACATTAGTTGAAGATGAAACTTTTAAGCAGAGAGGAACCAGAACTTTAAGATTCAGAAAATTCTCTGCCTGTACATATTGCAAAAAATGTAAACGCATGTTCCAGAGAGGACAGTAAGGGTGTGGCTGGACTTTCACTTGATAAAAATATTATGGGATTATACCCACAGAAACACTGCCAATTGGGACTAAAGGAGACAGAAACAGGATGAAACGAAGGAAGGCTGTCAGACTTTTCGGATTCTACAGGACAGGATTATAGAGAAAATGTGCATTATCTTTCAAGAAAAGGGAAGAATGACCCAATACATGATTCAGAGATCAGCAGGGCTGCCATCCCCACCATGGGCCCAGAGCACACAGGCCTTGGGAATAAGGCTGTCTCTTAGTTTCAGCGGACCAGGCTGTTGCAGCACCGTACGTCAAGGGCAAGTCCTCCACCCAGAGCTGTGGGGAAGGGGCACTTCCCAGGGCTGAGGGGGTAATGCTGCAATTCCAGTGGGCTTGGAAGGCAGGGCTGCCACCCCAGTGAGCCAGAGGGCAAAGTTTCAATCCTAAAAGGATTATTCTCGAGCCTTAAAAGTTAACGGAATTTTCCTTGCTAGGTTTCAAACTTGCTTGGGACCTGTCACCCTGGTCTTTTTTCCAATTTCTTGCTTTTAGAATGGGAATATTTATCTTATGCCTATCCCACCATTATATTTTGGAAGCACATGACTTGTCTCGTTTCATGGGTTTCACAGCTGGAAAGGAATTTTGCCTCAGGGTGAATTAACCTCCAGTCTCACCAATACCTGATTTAGATGATATTTAGATGAGATTTTATACTTGGAGTTAATGCTGGAATAGGTTAAGACTTTTGAAGCTGTTGGGATGGGGTGAATGTATTTTGCATGCCAGAAGGACATGAATTGAGGGGGAGGGCTGGAGAGCAGAATGTTATGGGCTGAATTATGTCCCTCCAAAATTTATAGGTGGAAGCTCTAACCCCCACTATGACAATATTTGGAGATAGAGGTAATTAAGGTTAGATGAAATCATAAGGGTGGGTCCCTAATCCAATAGGACTGGTGTCCTTATAAGAAGAGGAAGAGACTGCAGGCGTGCACGCACACAGAGAAAAGGCCATGTGAGAATACAGCTAGAAAGCAGCTGTCTGCAAGTCAAGGCCACCTACCAACCCCTTTATCTCAGACTTTCGGACTCTAGAAGAGTGAAAAATAAAGTTCTGTTCTTTAAGCTGCCCCATCTGTGATGTTTTGTTATGGCAGCCTGAACTAAGACAGGAGGAAAGGAAATTCTCAATATGGCTCAAGGGAGGGAAACTAGTTACTGAGGGGCAGGGAGGGAAGGAGCTGCTTTTCACTATACACCCTTTGCTTTTTCATAAACATGACATGTACATGTATTTCCAATTAAAAAATATAAATCATATGTTAAAAAATTCAGCAGCTGCACAATATTCCATCAAGGGTTGTATTATAATTTATTTACCCAAATTATAGTAATTATACTCTCCCCTCATACTCTATATATACTGTATTATTAATTACATATATTGCTATTATATATAAACTATATTAATAGTTACATATTATACAAAAGGTCATGGAAAAATTGTATTATCTTTTAATTCAATTTTTTAAAGTACCCTCATATCTATATGTGTTATTTATATGATAAATTGTACTATATTTAACTGTGGTAATTGGGCATTAGGTTTCTTTCTGGTGTTTTGTGTGTAACTGAGCCATCCTATGAACAACTATGAAAAGTGCATAAGACTTTTCCAGTGGTTGAAGTTACTTCCTTAATGTTGATTCCCAAAAGTGAAATCATTGGGTCAAAAAGTGAGGTTATTCTACAAATATTTACAAAAATATTTTACAAGTATTTACCAAAAGGGTTACTTCTTTAATAACATGTATGATTTTTTTTTCTGGTTTAAAAGAATGCACATTTATTGTACAGAATTTGGAGAATACAGAGACGTTCAAAGAATAAAATCAAAATCGTGTGTTCTGCGCATCCAGAGATAAGCACTCTTAAAGCGTCTCCATATTTGCTTCAAGTCTTTTCCCTTTGTACACGTATTTGTGGCAGTAACACGTGTAAGGCCTGAGGTACGTGTGTTAAGGTGAGGGCTCCTATTGATCCTCTTAACAGGAAATCACACTGAATATCCTTCCTGCAGAGCATGGAGGAGTAATCATTTCCCTTTCTAGGTGTGAGGCCCGCAGTCCTCACGACAGAGACTAGCCTTGGCAACGGAGGATTTTAGGACCCCAAGACTCACAGCAGAG